GGATGGGGGAGGGATGGAGGGTGAAGGATGGGGGATGGATGGGGGATGCATGGGGGATGGAGGGGTGGAATGGAGGGGGGTAGCTCAGTGGCTTGCTTGTCTGCCTGAGTCTTGGCCAGGCTGTCCCCATGGGGCTGCTGTCCCTTCTCCTCTGCCTGGGAACCTGTCGGTCACTTTTCCAGACACACCTCAGCCCTGGGCCTCAGGAAGCCTGTCCGTCTGTCCTTCCCATGTGGCTGCTCCTCCTCAGGCTCCCGCTTCGTCTGCAGGTGTCCTGTCTGCCCGTCCCTCAGTCACAGCCCCGTCTCCTGGTCCCCAGCACCGGGCATCACGGAGCTCACTGACCGCAACCCGCTGTCCAGCCCCAGGTCCACTCTTCCCTGGAAGCTGAGCCCTCCACTGCTGACCGGGAGCCCGCCCCCGCCACGCCCCACTCACTCATGTGACAGCCAGGGCCCTGGGAAGCCCTGCGTGTGGCAGTACCAGAGTCCCTGCAGGGCCACTGGGGGCAGGGATGCTGGAATTGCCCCCACAGAGCCCCGGGGCCCTCCCAGCACTGCCTGGCCAGGCCCACTCAGACCCTCCGATGACCTGTGCCCCGAGGCTCGGGACGTCCAGACACCCCGACCCCGTTCAGGGCCCTCGGAGGCCCCGTCTCTGGTCCCGCCGTCCCCCTCTGTCACCAGCTCTGCAGCACCAGGTCCACCCACTGCCCCCACTAGAACGTGGACCCCAGGACCGGGGTGGAGGGGTCTCTTGCACTTAGCTGTCCCCAGCACAGAGGGGGCCCTGGTGCAGGCCCTGGGGACAAGGTGGGAAGGAGGCCTGCAGGGGCAGCTGGTGTCCAGGGCCCAGGCTCTGGCTGTGGCCGATTTGAAGGACTGAGACCCTGACCCACCGGCCAGCCTGGCTAGCCCCTTGGCCCCGCGTGGCAGGTTATGCTTGGGGTCACTGTCCTGGTCCCCAAGCTGCCACACGGCCCAGGCTCTGGCTCCTCACATCTGGGCTGCAGTGGCTCCTGCTGGCCTCTGGCCTGGGAGCAGGAGGGCCCTGGTCACCCGGTTCCCGGAGGGACAGAGAGACCTGAGAGTCCCACGGCCCCCAGGGCCACACCTCAGGGCAGCCCCGCTAAGAGGAAGACATGGCGCCCGGTCCCCAGGGTCGTGCCCTGCGGCCCACGTGGGGGGCCCGGGGCTGCTTCCCTGGGCTGGTCAGGCCAGCGTCCGGCCACAGGAGCTGGGCACTGCCCAGCCTGGGTGTGGCAGGCCAGGAGCTGGCCCGGGAGCGCGTCCGTGACTCATTTTCCTCTTCTCCCCCGTGGACCCCAGGGAGCGGGCGGGGGCAGCTCCGGGCCTCACAGTGGCACCTCAGGGCCACCACCCGCAGGGCGACAGGAGCTCCCGGGCTGGGGGGCTCCGAGGTGTCCACCCTTTCCTGGGGGTTCTGTCGTCCAGCTCTCTGTCCCTCCCAGGTTCCAGAGCCTGACCCAGAGCCTGTCCCCACGCCCTTGGCAACTGCAGGGAGGTGTCTCAGGGGACAGACGCTGCATGGACGAAGGAATGTGCGGTAGGAAGTGACCACGGTGACTCAGGGTGACTCAGCCCTAACCCTGCCAGGGTCCTGCTGAGCGGCCGGCTGTGACCACGCTGCCTCCGCCTGCCCACCTCGGGCAGCCCCCCCAGGGCCCAGCCCTCGGGCTGGCTCTGCGCCCGGACCCTGGGACTGTGGGCAGAGGTGCCCGGCAGCTGCCTGGACGGGGCCCAGGGCCGCAGCAAGGGGGCAGCTGAAGTGAGGGCTGGGGCTGGGCACTGCCCCTTCTGCCCGCCAGGCCCTGGGGACCGCTCCCTCCTGGGCGTGACTCCTCCTGTGGGGTCAGGCTCCTGACGGGACGGAGGCTGGGAGGGAAGAGGCCGGGCTGAGGCCAGGGCTGAGCAAGCTGCGGGAGCCGGGTCCCGGCCCAGGGCCTGCTGGTCACTGGCCTCCAGCACGTGGGACACCAGGGCGGGGCTTCTGCCAGGCGGGGTTGCTGCTGGCTCCCAGGTCTCCCCCGGGAATCACCTCAGTCGCCCGCGTCCTCTGCCTGAGACAGGGCCGGGGTCTCCACCGTCCACCCGCGCAGCTCCCTGTCCGTCCCTCCCTCTGTCTGTCCACACCTTCATTACACTCTGCACCCGCTCACCCTCACCCACCCCTCCCCCCTGCCGTCCATCCGTCCATCAGTCCGTCCATCCGTCCATCAGTCCGTCCATCCGTCCACGGCCTCCTCTCCTGCCTTAGACCATCCACACTTCCCTGTCCTCACGTCCCCCGTGTCCACGTGGCCCTCTGGCCTCCACTTACTTCTCCGTGGCCTAGTGGGACTGGACACGGTGGAGACCCGGGCTGCCCTGACCCTGCTTTCCACACCCTGCTGCTTCCTGTCCAGCCCCTCGGCCTGTCCAGCCCAGCGGGCCTCGTGACCCAAGAGCCAGGTGGGACCCAAACCCGCCGAGCCTGTCCAGCGTGGAGGCCTTGGCGCTGCTCCGCCGGCCTCCACCCCATCTCCGCCCGCCGACCACGGGGGCCGCCCGGGGGCTTCCGTCGGGGGCTGGCTGCCCTCAGCACCTGGGCAGCAGGCGGTGGCCCTGGGCTTGGGCCTGATTGATTCTGGACCAGCTGCGCCCAGAGGTCCCGGCTAGGAGGGAAGCCCAGGCCTGAGCACACACCTCCCGGGCCGCGTCCTTCCTGCGGGGTTTCACGCACCAGTCCTGGGCCTGTCCCCTTCCAGGTGGCCTGCTCTTCCCAGACTGCCCAAGGGGCTTAGATTTCCCTCCAGGGACAGTTTCAAGAGCCCCCAGAGCCCCGCTGGTGTTGCACCCCACCTGCCAGGCGCGGGGTGGCCCTGTGGCCCTCCCCGCCACCCTCCAGTTCTGGCAGAGTCTTGGAGGGAGGGTGGACTTTGACCCTGTGTCCAGCGGGTCCCTCCTGCCACCCTGTCCATCGAGGCATCTGGAAGGCCGGCCTCCCTCTGCGCCCCGGCCAGGGCCCAGGCGGCTTGGCCAGCCGAGCCCCAGCGCCCCCAGCTCCCCCTCCACTGGGCCCTGCCCAGCCTCTGCGCTCCTCTCCAGCTCCCCAGCCCCCCACAAGCCGACCCTCTGCCCAGAGCCCCCGCCCTCCTGTCCTCCCAGTCCCCGTCCCCTCTCCCTGGCTGGCCCCTCCTCACCTGCAGGATCTGCTCACATCCCCCTCTTCCAGGGACACTTCCCTGACCCCAACCTGGGCCAGCCTCCCTCTCTGGCCTCCCCTCGGCGCTCTGCCGGCTCCCCATCGGGCGGCCCGTTGGTCCCCCGTCAGACCAGCGGCTCACGGGGGTGGGGCCACAGGGAAGTCACAGACGTGCCCCGAGACCAGCGTGAGGCCTGCTGCACGAGGACTGAGTGGCTGTGGCGAGACGGGGGCCCCCGAGAGTTGACAGGCCCCTGGAGGAGGCTCGGGTCGGGCTCGGGGGTCTGTGGGGGGCGGGGGGCAGCGTCTCCTCCCCCCTTCTCCCCCCCCCATCTACTCCAGCCTGGGGTGGGCCACAGCAGGGGGAGGGATCCCTGGCAGGGGGCTGACTGTCCCCCTCAGCCCACGGCTGCCCCACTCTGTGGGGAGAGGCCCAAGGTCTTGTGTGCCCAGCCCCTGCCCACCACAGCATGCCGGGCAGAGACGGGAGGCCGGAGGGAGAGGCCCAGGTGGAGTCTGGCCTCATGCAGGCAGGAGCTCAGGCTCTGTGAACCTGTGCGCGCCCCCTGCCCCCCCACCTCAGACACCCAGGAGGGCAGAGGGTGGAGGCCACAGAGGCCGGCAGGATCAGGGACCAGCAGGCCATGATTCTGTGAATACAACTGCAGCCTCGCTTCCTGTGGTGGCCACACCCTGTGCCTCTGGAGTGAGCACTCCATGACCCCAGGGAGGCTCCAGCAGAAAGGGGGGGCTCCAAAACAAACCCGCGAGTCATAGAGGCCAAGGAGGGCACGAGGCACCGTAGGCCTGGCCCCAGGGTCCCCAGCCCAGGAATGTCCACCTGCAAGCTTGTCCTGTTCACTGCACCTGGTGCTATCCCCTCCTGCTCCACCAGGGCTACGAGGAGCCACCCCATATCCGTCTAGGCACCGTGACAGCTGGGAGGGATACCTGCCATGATCCTCCCATTATTCCTTCATTCCATGAGTGTTTATTGAGCACCTACTACAAGCCAGGCCTTGGGCTGTGCACAAGCCAGACAACTGTCCCTGCCCTCCTGCGACTGGCAGTTTGTGGGGACACAAATTAAACAGTTGTGAGTGGTCACGGGAGCCACCACAAGACCAGCAGGGTGATCTGGGGGACATGGAGCTCTAGCAGGGGAAATGAGACCACAATGAGCAATGGGACCCCAGTCCCTCCAGGTGGCAGGGAGGTCAGCCTGGGCAGAGGGTCAGGACACTCTGAACCCACAGAAGCCTGCTGTGACCCCAGCGCAGGGGGTCAGGGGCTAAAGCAAGACTAGGGCAGGAGAGGGGTGGTGGCCTTGCCTGCTGGGCAGATGAGGGCAGAAAAGGTCACTGGACGCCCGGGGACTCCTGCCGGGCAGACGGTGGCTTTGGGGAAATCACAGGCTCCGTCCCTTGGAGCGGCAGGAAAGCCCTCCACCGTGGGCTCCGCGATGGTGGGAGGGGGAGCTGCTCCCCAGTGCCCCCGAGGACCCAGGTGTCCCCTCCCCAGCAGGTTCTTCCCGGACCAGCAGCCTGCTGTCCCTTTAAAGGGACCTGAATCAGCGAGAAGAATGAGCCTGAGTCATGGAGGAAGGGGTGGCCCCTGGGCTGGCCGGGCGCCAGGCAGCCGCAGGAGGAGGCGGCCGGGCAGCTGCCTCTGTGCGCGAGGGCGGGAGCCCCAGAACCCGCGGAGGGTCCCCGCGGCAGCGGGTGGGATGAGGCGCCGCACAATGGGGCATTGAGGGCGGCCTGCGGGCCAGGGCTGCTCCCGCCAGCTGATGCTGATGTCATCTTCCGCCAGGAGTCCCTCCCGTGGACCTGACAGATGCCCCAGGAAGCTACGGAGGAGCCAGAGGAAGCCCAGGCCCCGACCCAGGTGATGCCTGTGTCCCGCGAGCTTCTGGACGCGCAGCGGAGGACAAAGAGCTCACGTGGGGACAGAAGTGCCCAGAGCCCGGACTAAGGGGCGCCCAGGGGCAAGGCCAGCCCACTCTGAGCTCCCCAGCAGGCAGAGCAAAAAGGAGCTGAGAGGGCTGCAGGAGGCCATCAGCGAGCCAGGGCGGGGACATCACAGAGAGCCAGGGAGGGACGATACAGAAAGCCAGGACAAGGACATCACAGAGAGCCAGGGTGGGGACGTCACAGAGAGCCAAAGCCAGGATGTCACAGAGAGCCAGGACCGGGATGTTACAGAGAGCCAGGACCAGGATGTCACAGAGGGCCAGGGCAGGGATGTCACAGAGAGCCAGGGCAGGGATGTCACAGAGAGCCAGGGCAGGGACGTCACAGAGAGCCAGGGCAGGGATGTCATAGAGAGCCAGGACTGGGATGTCACAGAGAGCCAGGACCGGGATGTCACAGAGAGCCAGGGCAGGGACGTCACAGAGAGCCCAGACCAGGATGTCACAGAGAGCCAGGACCAGGATGTCACAGAGCCAGGGCAGGGACATCACAGAGGGCCAGGGCGGGGACGTCACAGAGAGCCAGGGCGGGGACGTCACAGAGGGCCAGGGCGGGGATGTCACAGAGGGCCAGGGCGGGGACGTCACAGAGGGCCAGAGCAGGGATGTCACAGAGAGCCAGGGCGGGGATGTCACAGAGACCTGGGGCAGGGATGTCACAGAGGGCCAGGGCGGGGACGTCACAGAGGGCCAGAGCAGGGATGTCACAGAGAGCCAGGGCAGGGATGTCACAGAGGGCCAGGGCGGGGATGTCACAGAGAGCCAGGGCAGGGACGTCACAGAGGGCCAGGGCGGGGACGTCACACAGAGCCAGGGCAGGGACATCACAGAGAGCCAGGACCAGGATGTCACAGAGAGCCAGGACCAGGATGTCACAGAGAGCCAGGGCAGGGACGTCACAGAGAGCCAGGACCAGGATGTCACAGAGAGCCAGGACCGGGATGTCACAGAGAGCCAGGACCAGGATGTCACAGAGCCAGGGCAGGGACATCACAGAGGGCCAGGGCGGGGACGTCACAGAGAGCCAGGGCGGGGACGTCACAGAGGGCCAGGGCAGGGATGTCACAGAGAGCCAGGGCGGGGACGTCACAGAGGGCCAGGGCGGGGACGTCACAGAGGGCCAGGGCAGGAATGTTACAGAGGGCCAGGGCGGGGATGTCACAGAGGGCCAGGGCGGGGATGTCACAAAGAGCCAGGGCGGGGACGTCACAGAGGGCCAGGGCAGGGACGTCACAGCAAACCTGGGCCATGACGTCACAGCAAACCAGGGCGGGGACGTCACACAAGCCTGGGGCTGTGGGGAGCATGGGGCCTGCCCATCCCCCATGGTCAGGGCAGCTGGACCACGGCCTTCACTGCCCTGTCCTCAGGCTGTGGTGGCCTCGCCTGGGCCCTGTGTGGGGACTTGGGTGGGAGGTGGTCATCTGAGGACCTGGGGCTCAGCAGAGGCCCCTCCAAGAGTCCCTTGGGCAGCTCCCAGAGCTGGCCTGGACTCTGGCCCCCGCCCTTCGGCCCCCTCCAGCTGACCAAGCAGCCAGAGGCCATCCCTAAAGCAGAAGTCCCCGTGTCCCCTGCTCAGACCCCGCCGGGGCCAGCCGTCCACGCCACAGAGAACCCAGACTCCGCGTCCCCCAGGAGTGGGAGAGTCACAGGCCCTGCCCTCCCCGCCTCCGCTGGAGCCCGGGCCTTCCACCGCGGCCTCGCCCCGCTGCCCTGCCTGGGGAGCCGCCCGCCTCCCAGCTCAGTGCTGTCCCCGGACACCTGGCGTCGGGTGGGAGGCCCTGGGCCCTAGCTCCAGGCGAGCACCTGGATGCCTCAGGGAGACCCCTGGGCCCCCGCCTCTGACCCAGCCCTGGTCTCCACGCTGCCCGCTCTCCCGGCTTGCTGTCCTCCTCTGCGGGGGGAGGGCTGTGGGACAGTAGTGGGAGAAGGAGGGGCGGGCGGCCTGGGGCGGCCTGGGGGGCCAGGGCCTCCTGCCTTCCTCTGGGGTCAAGGCGGGTGGAGCCCACGCCCAGGGTGGCGAAGGCCTGCCCTGGTGAGTCAGGCTCACTGGGCCCCGCCCGAAGGGACACAGAGGACCCCTCAGTGACCCCAGAGCACCTGAGGGGGGGCTCGGGTGCTGCCCACAGGCTCAGCCCCAGCCACGTCCCTCCCTGGGCGTCCTTGACGGCAGAAGGTGCGCATGCAGGGCCTTCCTACATCGGCCACGGTGCTGGCTCCCTGAGAGGTCGTGCAACCATGTCCCCCACCCCGGGTTGACTGCTGCCCCCAGGAGATAAGAGCAGACCACGGCCCGGACAGGGCCACGGCCGCGGCTGAGACTTTTCGAGCCCTTTTGGGAAGCCCTGCTGACCCTCTGCCTCCACTCCTCACCCACTCCCCGCCCACCCCCATCCCACAGGGTCTACGCAGCGAGGAGGCCAGGCAGCGCCCCAGGTCCCCGGCACACGTGGTCAGGGCCAGCAGAGCGCAGACGGCAAGCCTGAGGGGGACTGCAGGTGGCTGCAGAAGACAGGACAGGACAGGGAAGAGCCCAGCAAGGCCTCCAGGGGACAGAGGCAGCTGCGCTCAGCCCGTGCCCTGCAGGGTCCTGGTGGCCAGCTGGCCCCCTGCAGAGAGGAGGCAGCCTCCTGAGCCGCCCCAGGGCAGCAGGGCCCCGGCCACGCAAGCCCAGTCAGGGCCTTGAACTTTATCCCAGGGCTGAGGACCCTGCATGTGACAAGGACGAGGCCATTGCTGCTTTAGAAGCTTCCAGCTTCCGAGTGGAAGTGTCCGGGGTGGCAGGTGGGAGGAGGCTCAAGGCTGTCCTGGCGGGAGACGAAGGTAGGAGGGACCAGTGGCGGGTGAAGGCAGGGAGAGGGGGCATCCCAGGGGGAGGACAGGACCCTGCCACCACAGCAGGGGTGTCACCCTTCACGGGGCCCACCCTGAGCTGGAGACGGCTGGGAACTGCTGCCCAGGTGCCCAAGCATGTCCGAACCTGCACCAGAGGGGCTGGGGGACCACCGCGGGCTCCTCTGCCGCAGGGCATCCTGGAGGGCTCCCGCCCCTGCCCCACTGCCCAGCAGCGCCACCTACTGGCTGCTCAGGACAGGCCCCCAGTGACTGCCAAGGGCAGATCCAGGTCCCAGTGTGTCCCCTCTTAGAGATGAGAGAACAGAGCCAAGAAAGCAGAAGGAGCTCTTCCAGGGTGACCCGCCAGGGACAGGACCTCAGCAGCCCGTCTCCCAGCTGCTCTCCAGAAAGGCCCTTCTGAGACGTGCAGGGGGTGCCGTGGGGCAGGACGGGCCTACTCCTGCCTGAGTCCCGGACGCTTCCAGCACCCTGCCACTGCCCCGAGACCCAGTCCCGTGGCCACCTGGACTCCGTAGACATCAGAACCTGACCATGTTGGATTCCCTCCCTCTGTCTCCAGCACTCAGGGTGCTAGGCCACCTAATGAGCCAGGAGGAGATAGTGATGGTGGTGGTGGTGATGGTGGAGATGGTGGTGATGGTGG